AATTTATAGACGGTATAAAAAAAAAATATAGATGGTACCAAAATTCGGATATCAAAATAAATCATACATTATTTTTCAACACTTTTTACCACATAATACTCAAAATAACGTAATGAATTTATTAATTAAACAAAAAAAATAAATAAGTATTTTATATTATTTAAGGTACAACATGATTCATACATGTAATAAATGTGGAAAAGTATTCCCCAAAAAATGGAAACTTAATCGTCATCTTAAAAATCGAAAATTTCCTTGTAAATCAAAACAAATACCTGAAGAAGAACAAGTATCTATAACGGAAATATTACCTGAAGAAGAACAAACACCTATAACGGAAATATTACCTGAAGAAGAACATAACGGAAATGGTACGGTTAAAAATTTTCATAACGCATTAGATACATTCATACAACTTAATAGAGAAGGTAAAAAACAATTTCTAGAAGAACAACGAATGGAATTAGAAGAGAGAAATTTTCTAATAGATTTAGGATTATTAGAAGACCCCAACGAATCAGAGGATTTTTGGCCAGAATTAGGCGGAAATCTTTTAACAGATAAGGCAAAGGGTAAAAAATTTCGATCAGAATATCGGGATGAAGGCTTATATCCAGAAATAGAAGAACCACCTGAAAATTTAATTTTCGAAGAATGTATAGCGGGAGATCCAGAAAGACCTCATCAAAACATTTCTTCATTAAGTAAATGGCAGGCAATTGTCCCATCAGAAATAAACCCAGAATACACTTTTAACCAAAAAATAGAAGATCCTGAAGAATATGCGGAAATTCCATATATGCCTCAACTTATGTCAGCATCTCGTAAGCAAATTACTAAAGTTCTTAAAGCAGAACTACGAAGAAAGGATCAGTTAAAATCTGCAATAATAGTATATTGCAATTATTCAAGAAGGGAAAAAAAAGATGGAAAATTATCAAGCCCGATATACCTACAACATTATCACAGAGGAGAAATGAGATCAATTCTTTCAGAAAATGATATAGAAGATCATATATCACTTACCGCTAAGGAAATCGATAAAAAAATCGAGGGTCATATTAAATCCGGATCTGGATGGACTCTTATCCGAATTGAAATGATATTTATCGAAGCTTATACCTTACGCCGAGCATCAGGAGGATCATATATACCGACACCAAAGAAACTTTCTGTATCAAAATGTACTATAAATCCAGATAATTCTTTAACTAAAGATGATAAATGTTTAGAATACGCCTGTGAATGTTATTTTGCAAATAAAGAGGGGGTTACAAAGAATTTACAACGTATTTCAGTTCTTAGACAATTTTCAAATAGAATAAATTTAGATGGAATACCAATGCCTACACCAATATGTTCACGAATCATTCAAAAAATCGAAGAAAAAAATCCATTAATTTCTATTATTGTATGGGGGTGGAACGAGGAATCCGCAACACCAAAAGTTGTAATACCAAGTAAAAATTTATATATTTCAAATTCATGCAAAAATGAGAGATGTAAACATCCTAGACCTAATGAATGCCATGAAAAAAGACCACACGTTATCCACCTTATGGCTCTTACTGAAATTAAAAAGTTTGAAACATATAACGATTTAGAAGAAATTAAGGAACCAATGATAAAGGTAGATAAAGAAGGTAAATTTGGACAGAAAGTTCATTTCTTATGGATTAAAAATCCGGATAAATTAGTATTCAAAGATACAAAACATAATTCTAAAAGGTATCTTTGTTATAAATGTTTACAAAGCTTTCAAACAATAACTGGACGTGATAATCATATAGACCATTGTAATGGAATAGATAATACTCCACAAAAAATATTAATGCCAGTAAAAGATAAAACCGACATCGAAAAATTCAAGAATTATGCTAGAATGATTTATGCCCCTTGTATAATTACTGCAGACTTTGAATGTGATAATATTAAAAAGAATGAAAACTATGGCAGAAAAATGTATAAACTAGCAGAACAAAATGCTAATAGTTTTGCATATTCAATTCATTGGATAGATACTGGAGAAACTTGGGGACCGTTTATTTATCGTGGTCCTAATGCCACAGAAGAATTTGTAAGAAAAATGGATTATGAGCTTAAACAAATAAATGAGGTACTTGCAATTAAAAAGGATAAAATTGTAAATGATGAAGATCAAAAAAAATTCGATAAAGCGGATAAATGCTGGATTTGCAATGAAGTTTTTAGAATAGATAAAGAAAAAATAATCCAATTAGAAAACAAACGCAAATTTCTTGATAACAAATTATTGGAACTGAGGAAGAAAAAAGAAGATACTTCAACATTAGTGTTTGAATTTGAAAAAATTGACGAAAATATTAAAACAGAACGTGGTAAAGGAATAAAGGTTTGGGATCATTGCCATATAACTGGAAAATTCCGTGGATCAGCACATAGTGATTGTAATTTACAACTTCAAATTAAACCATGGAAGACGCCAATTCCAATAATAATACATAACTTCCGAGGCTACGATTCACATGTTATTTGTCAATCTGTAGCTAAATCAGTTAGTGCTCATCAAATAAGAGTAATTGCGGAAACTTTTGAACAATATAAATCAATGAAGGTAGGACAATTAAAATATATCGATTCAATGCAATTTATGAATTCTAGTTTAGCAAGTCTTTCAGATAATTTAGGTGCAATAAAATGTAAAGATGTGTTATGTTCACATTTTCATCGATTAGATAAAGAACAATGTTTTGGAACAATTGAAAATCATAAAATATCTTCAAAGCATTTCAAAAATTATACAGAAGAACAAATTGCATTAGTATGCCGTAAGGGTATTTATCCTTATGAATATATTGATTCACATAATAGATTTTTAGAAACAGAACTTCCTCCATTATATGAATTTAACGGCAAGCTTGGTAAAAAAATAACACAGGAAGAATATGAAAGAGCTCAAAAAGTTTGGAAAACATTTGGATGTAAAAATTTAGGAGATTATCATGATTTGTATTTAAAAACAGATGTACTTCAACTTACCGATATATGGACCAAATTTAGAGAAACATCTATGAAATATTACAAACTTGATCCTAGTCATTATGTATCGGCTCCATCATTAGCCTGGGATGCAATGTTAAAAATGTCGGGGGTTGAAATTGAGCTATTTTCCGATATATCAATGCATGATTTTATTGAAAAAGCTAAGAGAGGCGGTATTGCAATGGCTGGTCATCGATATTTCAAGGCTAATAATGAAAAAGTTGGAGATGAATACGATCCATCAAAACCAAAAACTTGGATATTATATGTAGATGCTACTAATTTATATGGTTGGGCGATGAGTCAATTTCTACCTATTAAAAATTATAAATGGGAAAAGCGTAGAGCACATTTAAAGGATAATCCAGAATTGCAAAAGGAATGTCTTAATACAATACTTAATACAAAAAACGATTCACCTAAAGGATATTTCCTAAATATTAAAGCCCATTTTCCTAAGAATACACACGATTTTCTTAATGAGTTACCACCAGCCGTTGAAAATATTGCTGTAAAACGTGATTGGCTTAGTCCTTTTAATAAAGAGCAAGTAAAAAATTTAGATGGTGGCCATTATTCTGAAATAGAAAAATTAGTACCTCATCTTGGTTCTAGAGATAATTATGTTATTCATTATCAAGAACTTAAATATTATGTTAAATTAGGTATGGTAGTGGATGATGTTTATGAAATTTTATCATTTAATCAAACTAATTGGCTTGCATCATATATTAAGCTTAATACTAACTTACGCCAAAATGCTACTAATGATTTTGAAAAAAACTTCTTCAAACTTATGAATAATGCGGTATATGGTAAGACAATGGAAAATGTTCGAAAATATCAAGATGTAAAACTTATGCCAATGCGTAATAATGATGATGATGAGAAAAAATTTCAAAAAAAAATAAATAAACCGTCATTCAAATATGCTAGACAATTATCTGAAAACTTGATTGGTGTACATATGGGTAAGCAAACTATAACTCTTAATAAACCGATAATTGTTGGAGCATCAGTTCTAGGGCTTAGTAAGTTACATATGTATCGGTTCTGGTATGGATATATAAAAGAAAAATATGGTGATAAGGCTAAACTTGGTTATATGGATACCGATTCATTTATTATTTTAATTGAAACTGATAATGTATATAAAAACATGGCAGAAAGGCCAGATATATTTGATCTTGATGATTCTAAAGTTCCTGGATTATTCAAAGATGAATGTCCTAACAATGTGGTTAAAGAATCTATTCATATTCGATCTAAGCTATATCATTATGTTTTATCAGATAAAACCACAAAATCGGTTCATAAGGGGGTAAGTAAAAACGGTATGAATGAAATGGCTACTAATACATATTTCCCATCATTAGGAAAATCTTTATTAGATGATCCAATACCGGCAAATGAAATAATAGATCCAATGACTCTAGTATATCGGAATTGTCTATTTAACAATGAGGTGTTCTATGCAAAGAATGTTGGTATACGTTCAAAAAATCATATTTTATCCCTAGTAGAATCCGAAAAAAAAGCATTAGCCCCTATCAATGATAAACAATGGGTTTTATCTGATAGAATATCTAGATTATCATATTTCCATTGGAGAACAGAAGCTTACGAAATACTATGTAATAAAGGAATACCTCCTAAAGAAGCGGAAAAAATGGCAATGGATGCAGTGCTTAAACCAGAATATCAATAAATATTTGCAACGTTATTTAATTATAGCAGATCATTTTCCAAAATGTAACAAACATGATTATCGTCCACACGTGTGGACGGTCGACTAAAAGTACCACCCCAGGAAAAAATATAATAAAAACGTCATAATGATTTTACACCTGTAAAAAAATAATATACGAGTAGTGGTTGAATTTATTGATTTTTTACTTTTTTTAGCAATTTAGATTTCAACTCTAACCTCAAAGTACGATTGGTTTCAAATCCCCTCTGTTTTACGAATAAATAAGAGGTATATATTGTTGTTGTATAAAAACGATTAAGCTTATTTTTTAACATCGAATGAGGGCCCACCTATCAAAAGAAATTATACAAATATTAGGATCGGCAAAGGTAACGGATCGTCCATAATAGATAAATTGATTCCATTCATGACAATTATTGCTCCGAAATTACTAATTTATTGACCTGTGAAGCTACTAACGTTATAAAAACAAAAGAATATTTCCCGTGAGTATACCATGAAGACTTATATCAAACTTGTAAAAAATTCATAAATATGGAGATTTCATGCCTCAAAACTCTTGCATTAAATATTCTTAAAAATGCTTCCTCTGGATGTATTACAGAGGGTGTCGAAACTCCTGAACTAGATCCGTGTCCAGAATGCAATGACGAAATTTTTTTGTACCAACTTAGAAAATCATTCACCGTATTAGCTTGTGGCCATATTTTCCATCGTCTTTGCCTTGAGAACATTAGAGAAACTATAACCAAATGTCCTGTTAAAAATTATGGTGCGGATATCGAAAGCATAGAAAAGTCACCACAAATACTAGCGTCATCTCGAAAAAGTATGAGCATAGATAAATCAGGTGATTCAGCATTAGACCCTTTTTTGGGGAATGATCCATCATATCCAGATACGATGGTGGAAGACTCATCTGAAAATAATCAATCACAAAACATGGAATCTGATATACCTGGAACATCTACTGCAAGTACTTTACCATCCAAGCGTGTTGGGGATCCTACATCTACTAATAAGGCTACCGGTAAAAAACAGAAGGCAAATAAAGAAGATTCATTAAAACTGAAAAAACTTATCAATGAATTATTATCGATTGAAAAATTTCTGCAAATTATCGAGGTCACAGAAGAGGGTGTTTCTGGAGGAGATGCCAATAATTATTTATATTTTTTCAATAAGATTGATTTCGCAGAATCTAAAAATATAATTACAAATCAAGAGGTTATTGGTAGTTATTTTGATTTTGGAGGGGTTTTATATAAATGATACAAGGATCTAAAAAAGGATAACGGTAAAGAAGCATCCAATGCTTTAGTTTTCGAGGAAGTTCGGAAGCAAATTCCTAAAGAAGTAACCGATGTTGCTCTACGAAAGAGAATGGAGAGAGTCTGAAAAATCTATAAACTTTTTACTGCTATTGTTAATGGGAATGAGAAATTAGCAAAAGACAAAATAGCATTAATTAGATCTTTTTCAGCAAATAGCTTATCAAAATTAAGTCAAAGTGATATTGATTTTGTAATCGTCAAAATTTTGAAAAAGGGGAAATAAAAGTGCGGTATGGTCTACTGCGCCACGTTACTGCGCCCTTGTGACCGCGGGTCATAGACATTCATACAAAAATAACAAAAGTTCTCCTACTATGATTTTGATTCCCACTTGATTAAACATAATTATCCAGATTCATACCATAATCGCATTACCATAAGACCTTTGCAAAATTTTTAGATGCGTGAGTTAGAAGCTTCAATCAATCTTTAACCCTGATTCTTCACAACTCTTTTTAAATATACGGGACATACTTCCCTCAATTCCCTGACCGTAACTTCTTCGTGAAAATTAGAAGGAAGTTCATACATATATTTTACAGGATCTTTCTATGCCTATTCTGAAAGAATGAACTTCGTTCTGGCATGAGCTCCGCTCTTAGATGCGGGTAGGTAATAGTTGAGTGTCTTTTCTAATCGTTTACCAAAGAAATTCAAATTTGATAATCTATCCGCATAATCAATCAGATAATCATTTATTATCGTACGACATTTTAATGGGGCTGAGTAAAGATAAAATTTCGATGTGTGTAACACCTGACGCATGCATGCTTATTTGTGCGATTAACCAAATTCGATTAATTGGCATTCATGTACATCCATTTTCTTTGTAAGGAATTCTTGGCGTAAATATAGAGGAAGAGATGGAAGGAAAACATTTATAAGGGCAGTATAAAAATATATACGTTAATTTGCGATTTCTGATTCTAGCTCTTTTGTAATTTTTCAAACTAACAAAAACATTCCATTTAACTTGCATAACTTTATTCTAACAATGTCAAGTATTTTCGAGAGAGTTTGTAATTTCCTTACCCATTCACCGTTGGACCATATTTCTGTCGTGTCTGTCATATATCAAGTGATAGAAGAACAACCAGGATATCCAGAGGATGAACTACGTGATTTGGTTTCTCTAGCCATCGACGAGACAATAAAGAATTGCAAAAAAGATAATCTAAGACGTAAGAAGCTTATTAAAATCCCATTGCAGGTTAGTTTTAATCTCGAGGTTGTGATTAATTATACCATATGATGATTGGCGCTGGTCCGTGTTAGCTTTGGTTAAGTAAAAGCCTATAGCCTGCGGTTACTGGATATTATCCACAAACGTATGGAGGTGATTACTTGATCAAGCACATGTGGATAATTAAAGTCAAATGAAGGCGATAGACGTGTGATGGCCAGACACGAATTGAACCTTTTCATGCGACTTTCTGATGGGTGCATGCATAAATATCAGATTTAACGGTTAATCGTTTGAGTAATTACTAACATGAAATTTTCTGATGCGCCAGTTCGAGGTTGGTTATGAAGGCGTCTGTACACTTCGCAATATAGAGGAGGCGAAAAAGGTGCGTTATATTCTCGTGGTATTAGCGACTAGGATATTATATATGTGCTGACTTTTCTATAACAGAAAGAAAGTATTACTGAAGACGAAATAAAAGAGAACATGCGAACTTTGAAGACGAAGCTCATCATAAGTTTAGAAATAACACATCAACTCTTTGGGAGCAAAAACCGATCTGAAGTTTATTATTATCTTTTTTTTTCAGAGTAGTAAGTCTTCTTATGCACCTGATTTACAAAGAAAAATAGATGGTATTGAGGCTTCTAACCTTTTGTGGTGGGATCCACTTGGGAGCCATGTACTCAGTAACGAATCGGATTTGGTGAGGTCTTTGTCGGATGAAGAATACAAATCTTTCATGGTAAGATGGAACTTTGGCGTTAGTCACCACATTCACGCTGAAGTATATTAACCAAGTTGAAATGTATTATTAGGAGCCTGTAAGGCGTATGGAGGTGGCCATCCCTTCTATCATAAAAGAGATGTGTGTTAATTTCGTGGAAAACTTCAGCTATGATAGTGCCGAGGTTTCGCTTTTCAAACTTGCACACGATATGAATTGGAAGGAAAATGTTGATACACTCCAGGGAGTTACTAAGAGAATTTTTAACACATTGTAAATGTTTGCTAAGCTCATATGATTTCTTGTAGCTCAGAAATTACATGTATAACTGTTTCATTTTAGGGAAGAAGTCTGGGATAATCCAACTTTTGGGAAGAAATTTGCCAGTTCGCAAAGCGAGGGGACGTATGTAACTGACATCATAGTCCCTGTTATTCGAACCACATTGAAAGGCCTTCCAGTCGGAAAATCTGCTTTTGTCAGCACGTGAGTATGATTATTTCTCGATTTTTAAGGGAAACATATTCTTATTTGCATGTTTTATGTCCACACCAGTGCAGAGCGACAAAGCATAGCCAGTAAAGATCGGAGAGGAAAGAGAGGGAAATGACCAGATGTGATGTTTTTGGTTAAACATAAAAGAAAATTATATGAACTAATGTATTCCGAATGCTCACGTCTGGTCTGTGATGATGATAAAGAATTAAGTGATTGGGTGAAGCTGTGGCGAGAATTGAACGATGGAATGTATTGGACTCGTAAGGGTTGCAAAATAGATGAAGATGATTTCGGTATTGTTGGGATTCAAATTGCTGGAAAGATGCTCCATCTATTTATTCTTATTCGAGGTGGAGATGAATTACATCGTTTATACCGTTTACGCTCTGTGGAAATCCCAATACAACACACCACAGATACCGAAAAGCTGATTGAGTTTGTGGAAACATTGTTATTATTACGGGTATATTCACTAAAAAATATATGATGTTCCGTTTTATGACCTATCTAAGTTTACTAAGTTTACTTGTATCATATAGAATATTATGGTCGTCAACCTATCCCTATTATTCAACTCCAAGAAGACCGCAAGTGGAAATAGTGAAAATAGTTCAACGGTATCTTCCCCATAGGTTTGATTTTATATTTATTTCTTATATTTCTTTGAATTTTATCGTTAATTAACTAATTATAAAAAATACGAGTCACATAACTCTATACTCCATATATTAAAAAAAAATAAACCAAATTATTTGCAATGCATATTACCCTCGCCAGTTCTGCTATGTATAATCCGAATCGAGATTATTTACCTCTAAATATCTGCATAGTTCTACATAATCAAAAATCGCTTCCGTATCTTGCGTATTCTTATTTATTATAGTTATGTGATCTTCATCTTTTCTTTGCATGTACTTATCCTGGTTTAAAAATTGAAAATACTGCTTAGGATTATCGGTGAATATTCCTAGAGTTTTACGTCTGTTAGATTTACGAGACATATTAACATATCTATATAAATAAATGACTTCAATTTTTTCTCGACATATATTAATTCACTTTTATAGTTTTATGTGCCATTAAGCCCGTTGCATATTTAGTTTTACTAAAGGTTTCGCTAAAAGTAATTGTAATTCATAGTTAAAATCAGTCAACATGACCCCGCTTTATTATTGATATATAAAAAATGTTACCAAAATAATAACATAAAAATAAAATAAAAAATCTTATCGCAGTT